TTTTTTTTTTTTTGCCTGAGTGATAGAAAATGATTGTTGGGCGGGTGAGCGTGAGAAGAAGAGGCGCTGAGGCGTGAGACTTGGTAGGTCTGCATAGAACTATTATATTATATCTCTATGGAACAACTAGAGTGCTGACAAGATGGCGAAGCAAAGCAGAGTTGTGTATGTGTCATAGAGATACAATAAGAATACTAGAGCGCTAACTGCAATGTATTCGATGTTCGAAATAGCTCTATAGCGTACCATCAAAGATGGCTGCCATAGATTCAGCCAATGCTCTATGGCACTGATTCGTCATCTTGTCAGCATGACTCATGAATTTTGTCTGTTCAGTTTTCCAAGTGCGGTACGTATTTTGCGGACCAAAGCCGAGTAAAAACGCAATTGTTTAGACATTTCGTAACCATCTCAGAAACCACTAGATCGATTTTATGGGTGCAGCGGTTATCAGAGGCTAAATTTATTGTGAAAACAATGTACTGAACGTTGTTAAAATTGGAAGCCAATATTTTTACAAACTCAAATGTGCACAATTTCTACTGTAAATGATTTATTCCTTTTGTATTCCCGTACGTATATACTAGTGTTTTACATACACAGGATTACTGTTTTTCCTAATTTAAAAAAATATATAGATAGCCATTATTAAATAATAATTTTACAGCCTTTGACACGGACATATCCATCTAATTTGATTTAGTGATACCAAAAATTTACTCCAGTGTTACGTTGACACAATCCCGCAATGACATCATAATAATAATCAGTGGCGGAATCAAGTCGGGTCGAGCCGACCCTAAATTTTTCAAAATTATTTTTTTTAAATGGAAAAAATTTGGGTCGAGAGTGCCATTTCTGGCAATCTAGGTGTCATAATCAAATCATAAATTTTCTTTCCTCAGCCCCAACCATAGTGGGACTGAGGTGATCTACTCTCCCAGATTGTGCAAGTCCCTCCGTTCCTCCCTCTATTTCGCTTTCCTCTGGAGCCGCAACTGATAATGATAAATTAAGTAAATCACCCTTATGTTTGTGAAATCAAAATGCTAACTAATATTTTGTGTGCTCCCTATCTCCCTAGTCCTGTTTAGGACGTATTATTTCCACTCACAATATGTAGTCGCAATATTGCTTACACAATTGCTTTTGAAATTCAAAATGAGGAGAAAAGCAAAAGTTTTAAAAGTACTGTACATGCAAAAAGACTAAATTTATGACTGTTTTAAGTTTTTCATGGTTCGAATTTTGAATACGTCACAAGCTAATCAGTTGATATAATAAATCATTATTTTTATTAATGTTTTTGCACGAAATATATAAGCGGGCATAATTACGACTGAAACGATAATTTTAAAAACTTTTATGATGAGTATTTCAGTGGCAGATTCAAGGGGCCCAGCCGGCCCACCATCCCTAATTTTTTTTTTTCGAATTTTGAAAGTGGAGAAAAATGAAAATTATATTCAAATTAAGTCTGAGAGTGCCATTTCCCATCAACTAGAGGTGCCATAATCATAAATTTTCTTACCTCAGCCCCAACCATGGTGGGGCTGAGGTGTTCACACTCTCCATCTGTAAAAGTCCCTCTCTGGGCCCAGCTCTGTTTCAAATTACTGGATCCGCCACTGGATATTTGGAAAATTTCGTATGGAAAAAATGCATTGCATAAAATAAATTAAAAGGCTATAGGCGTTAGAGCTTCCGGGTGCTTCGCCCCCTGGTCCCAAACCAAGGCTTGGAAAAAAGGTTAAAAGTGGAAATATAGCTTGGTGGTTCCAACAATTCCAGGGCGCTGGGTTAGGGTGCTTAAGATGCTTGCCTTCCAGCAATTCCAGGGCCCTGGGTTCAAACCCTGTGACACTCCCTAAGCCTCTCGTACACTTTTGCTGATTAGGCATCACATTACTTCATTTATTTAAGAGTTCTCTCGAATATCAGTCGACCTTCTAGACTACGCTGGAAGGGTTCCCTCTATCTATGAATATGGTTTTTAAAAAAAGGCAAGGTCAAGGAAACTAATGGCATTACCCATCATACACACCATGCGTATTGTTCGATATTCAGGCACAGGGCATAGTGACTGCTCCAGTTGCTTCTGGTTCAGCATTTGTTAACAAAAAATAACACATGTTTAAACAACACATTTATTGAAGTTATTAAAACACAAACAGAAATATGCCGATTGAAACTTTAACAAATGATCCAAATAATGTAACCATAGTCTTAAGTAAATTATATTACAAGTTACGCAAAACCATTCAACATTATAATTATAATATAACTTGTAAATAATTCACTTTAAATCAACTTAAAATAAACTTCAATTAACATCCCTTTAACACTGGATAATTACTGTTGAAATTCTTCACTAAAATACACTGAATTTTCTCTTTGCATCTAAACCTTTTGAACAAACATAATCAAAAAGCTTATCTGCTTTGTTAGAACAGTAAATGCTAATATTCAGTTGGTAGAGAGTAAGCATAAAGACAGGTACACACAGCATCAACAAAGCCAGGCTAACAGACTGCATGATACAGTGATTCAATTTGCTTAAACAGCCTCTAGCTATCAGCATACTGGTATTGCATCATTCAAGCCAAATTGAAAATACATATTACTACAGCACACATGCCAAAGATGTTTATCCTGTGTTTATTTAACTACAACAATGTATGAAAGATGTACTACTATTACTTCAATAACTTCATAATAGCTTTATTAATTTTATTATGTTATATTAAATGATTTTAGACTATGTTATGATCTTGCTTGCTGCCTTGTTGCACAGTAGCAAACAGATACAGACACAGATTTATCATGTGTTTATCATGCCTTACTACACTTCAGCCAATTATGTAATACTAAACACTCTTTGATGTCACTACATGTTAACAAGTGTTTATCATGCCTTACTACACTGCAGTCAATTATGTAATACTAATACATTATGTTATGATGTCACTACATGTTAACAAGTGTTTATCATGCCTTACTACACTTCAGTCAATTATGTAATACTAAACACTCTTTGATGTCACTACATGTTAACAAGTGTTTATTATGCCTTACTACACTGCAGTCAATTATGTAATACTAATACCGTATGTTGTGATGTCACTACATGCTAACAAGTGTTTATCATGCCTTAGTACACTGCAGTCAATGATGTAATACTAACACTTTTTATGCCACTACATGTTAACAAGTTTTTATCATGCCTTACTACACTGCTGTCAATTATGTAATACTAACACTTAATTATGTCATACACGTTAACTAACAAGTGTTTATCATGTCTTACTACACTGCAGTCAATGATGTAATACTAACAATGTCACTACATGTTAACAAGTGTTAATATGCCTTACTACGCTGCAGTCAATGATGTAATACTAACACTTTTTTAATGTCACTGCATGTTAACAAGTGTTAACATGCCTTACTACACTGCAGCCAATGATGCAATACTAATACTTTTTGTCACTACAAGTTAACAATTGCTAATATGCCTTACTACATGCAGTCAATGATGTAATACTAACACTTTTTGATGTCACTACATGTTAACAAGTGTTTATCATGCCTTACTACATGCAGTCAATGATGTAATACTAACACTTTTTGTCACTACAAGTTAACAATTGCTAATACGCCTTACTACATGCAGTCAATGATGTAATACTAACACTTTTTGATGTCACTACATGTCAACAAGTGTTAATATGCCTTACTTCACTACAGTCAATGATGTAATAACATGTTCAGAATGATTACAATTGTTTATAATACCTTACTAAAAATATTTTCATATCACAATAGTACTAATGTTTCTCCATTTCAGTTAATTCATGCTTTATGTTGTGGGTAATACAATACTGTGCTATATATTTTAATATGTTGAAGATATACTACAGTACAAATACAGTTACAACATTAGGCCACTAATATTTCACTATATTCAATGGGTCACAGTAAAACTGCAATAGTCAAAATCTGTCCTTTATAACAATTAACCAGTACAGCTATTACAAGTCAACAAATTTCCCCTTACTATTTTAAGCAATTCCATCCAATCACAATTGTGATTTGTAACAATTCTAGCAGTCTTACCATTATTATAGTTTATTATCCCCTTCTACAACTGTGATATTAACACTGCCAATTCACTTGATGTTACCATTTTAAGAAGTTTTAGTAAAATCTACCCACAAATATTCAGATTTCCTGTAGGAATAATAATTTTAAAATTGTATAGTGCAATACTTTTCAAGCAGTTTCTGTACCCACTATTGTGATTAAAAATACTTTTTCCTGTAAATATACCTAAAGTTCTGTTGATAAAAACATTAAGATCTTATTAGCTATTGAAGTAAGTTGGTCAAAATAAAACATGCTAGTTAAAAATAGCAACATAATAAATAACAACTATTTGCTTTTATTTCTAATAAACCAATCATTCTGAAAAAGAGCATACATTAACTTTATTATACACACCATACAAATACTAAATTAATTTCTTTTACCCATGAAACATCTGGATTTTGAAATTAGTCTTACTTAAAAAAAATTCAAACCAACATTTCTGTTCTACTTCTCATTCTGGTTACTATATAATTCTGCTTTTCACATCTTCAACTTAATGAGAATCATTAAAGTTCTCTTGTGCTATGATCTATTGTTAGCACAGGTTGCAGATCCTAGCTTTCCATCCATTCACCATTTCCGCTACAATAGAAGCCTCTTCGATTGCTCATTGCAATACCATCATTCTTTGTTAAAAGCATGGAGTATGATGGTCAAATTCCATTGCTTTCTAAAGTCCCTGTAACCTTTCCTGAAGTCCCTGTGACCTTTCTCAACAAGGCATCAAAATGATCGTTCAGATAATACAGTAATCATAAATTCTCACTTAAAAACACCTCACATCCTTCATTTGTTTTTTTTTTTTTTTGTTTTTTAATAATTAAGAAAATTATCTTTCAATGTTTTCATTGTGGGTACGTACTTGTTCTTGAACAGTGCACCGTCTTGTGGGGTCTGGGTCTCTACCATCTAATTTGCCTTTAACTCTTCTCCAAACATTAATAGCATGTGTGTTGCGTACTTGTAACATTTTTCCAGTGCGTGGATCACGCATCACAGTTGTAGGTAGTCTTGGAGCTACAGTTGGATGAAAATACCATATTAATACGTATAAAGACAATACTAATACAGGTAATATTAAGAATATATGAATTCAGGTAATAATTAAAGTAACTGTTTGATTGTTGGTTCTATTTTTTCATTGGTAAATACTCATTTGACCTCTAAACTTATACTTTATTCATTTTTATAAGTCAGTCATCATACTTTCATAAGTCAAAAAATGACTAATGACTATTTTTTCTAGTGTCTACAGAACTTGACTACAATTGCATTGTCCTTTTACAGCAAACCTTTCAAGCAATATTTTTATCATAGTAAATGGTGATTTTTGTTTGGGGACAAATTGATGGCTGCAGTTTTAAATAAGTCTAAACATAGCTATTACTATTTAAATTAAAAATAATGGTCTAGAAAGCAATTATTGCTGTACTGTATTTTTATAGCATACTCAATTTGATGAGCACATTAAGTGCATTATTAAGTACCTTGGACTTGCTTGATGGCAGGTGGTGATGTGGCAGGGCTAGCGCCTGTACCCTCTAGACCACACACTTTGTCAACTTCCTTTTCTTCAGTTCTATCCTTCACTTTAACTGTACTTCTCCCAACTTTATCCTTTGTTGCCTCATCTTCTTGAGCTTGTTCTCTATCAGATTCTTGTTGCTCATTTTCTCTCACTTGATTTCTCAGAGCTGTTGGTATAATTATTATATTAGTTCATATTGCAATATCTTGTTTAAGTGATTAATTATTTATAGTACATTTACATATATACCAGGTTGACAGTAATAGAAGTAATAGAGTAATCTACTCTATATACTACTAGCACACAGAAGTAACTGGTGAATCCTCTCTCGTATAGAGTTCATTGACACAGGTGTAGTGAATAGTTAGTTCTCTCTTAAGTGTACATATTTCATTGACATTGGTGTAGTGAATAGTTCTCTCATCAGTGTACAGCGTTTGTTGACATTGGTGTAGTGAATAGTTAGTTCTCTCTTAAGTTTACAGCTTTCATTGACATAGGTGTAGTGAATAGTTAGTTCTCACTTACGTGTACAGCGTTCATTGACATTGGTGTAGTAAATAGTTAGTTCTCTCTTAAGTTTACAGCTTTCGTTGACATAGGTGTAGTGAATAGTTAGTTCTCTCTTAAGTGTACATATTTCATTGACATTGGTGTAGTGAATAGTTCTCTCATAAGTGTACAGCGTTCATTGACATAGGTGTAGTGAATAGTTAGTTCTCTCTTAAGTTTACAGCTTTCGTTGACATAGGTGTGGTGAATAGTTAGTTCTCTCTTAAGTGTACAGCGTTCATTGACATAGGTGTAGTGAATAGTTAGTTCTCTCTTAAGTGTACAGCGTTCGTTGACAGGTGTAGTGAATAGTTCTCTCATAAGTGTAGAGCGTTCGTTGACATTGGTGTAGTGAATAGTTAGTTCTCTCTTAAGTTTACAGCTTTAGTTGACATAGGTGTAGTGAATAGTTAGTTCTCTCTTAAGTGTACATATTTCATTGACATTGGTGTAGTGAATAGTTCTCTCATAAGTGTACAGCATTCATTGACATAAGTGTAGTGAATAGTTAGTTCTCTCTTACGTGTACAGCGTTCATTGACATAGGTGTAGTGGTTCTAGTTCTCTCTGTGTACAGTGTTCATTGACATAGGTGTAGAGAATAGTTAGTTCTCTCATAAGTGTACAGCTTATTATAATAGACCTTTCCAGAGTGTCAATCAAACAACCGACCAATCAAAACAGGGCAAGGAATACATGTGCATCCAACAAGCACACGGGTTGTCCAACAGATGCATGAGTTTTGTTATGTGCATCTAACAAGCACACGGGTTGTCCAACAAATGCATGAGTTTTGTTATGTGCATCTAACAAGCACATGGGTTGTCCAACAAATGCATGAGTTTTGTTATGTGCATCTAACAAGCACATATGGGTTGTCCAACAAATGCATGAGTTTTTTTTTATGTGCATCTAACAAGCACACGGGTTGTCCAACAAATGCATGAGTTTTGTTATGTGCATCTAACAAGCACATGGGTTGTCCAACAAATAAATGAGTTTTGTTATGTGATTCTATCAAGCACATGGGTTGTCCAACAAATGCATGAGTTTCGTTATGTGGAACAGAGGTAGCAGAATGAACAATGCTGCAATGTGTGTCTTTTGAATCTTAAATTTTATCAGTAATACAAAATATAATAAAATTATTAAGGAAATATCAAAATGTTTGAATGAACTCATCTATTCAATCATTGCAGTTGTATTATTAACTGATTGGTGTATAGAACAGCTCAACACTTCAACAATTATTATTAAGAACTTACCTGAAGCAAAACTAGGTGGTGTTTTGTCACTAGTAGGCTCATCTAACCCTTTAGGAATAGTTAAGGGTGCAGCCAGACTTACAAGATCATCATACAACCTGTAAACCAACAGAAGAAATGTAAACAAAACTAGGTGGTGATTTGTGAGTAGTCTTAATCTAACCCTTTAAGCATGATTAAGGGTGCACCCAGACAGATCTTATGAACTATTCAATTAACAATAAATCATTGTATATACTAGTGTATATATATACTTGTATATATTTTTGTTATAAAAATAAGTGAGCAGTACAGTAGGTCTACAGAATACAAAGATATATGTTTTAAGGTGAATTGAGCTTATGTCAATAAATTTGGTAACATTTTGTGCGAACATCTATATTTCATTCAAACATTAGAAAAACAAATACAATGTGCTTACCTTCTAGTTTCTACTGTTAGATTTTGAATGTTGATCAAAAGTTTGGCTAATTGGTTCACCTTGTCAAGTTTGTCTTCACTTGTACCTGAAATTACAACACATATATTTAATATTCATTGCCATTAATGTTTGTTATTAATATTATTATAATTTTAATATCTATGGATAAAGTAAATCGTACTTGTATCAATTCAACACACAGTAACTTAAAACTAGTCATACAGCAATTCTTTAGGGAGGTGGTACCAATTATGTAAGTACCAAATGATCATTAGAGTTCCCTTCACCATACTTTTGCAAGGTCACAAACCTTTTATTTGACAAGCCAGAGGGTATTTTTTAAAGTTACACTTACAAATAGAACTGATTCAGAGCTAATTCGGAACAGAGTCAAAATGGAATCAGAATGCAAAAAGAAACCACCTTTGCAAATAGCGATTTGTCAATGATAATACAGTATCAATACTAAACAGTACCAAAATTATATCAGAATTAATATACTGTATATTGTATTTATTTGAGTCTAATATAACATACTCACCGACCATGAGAATTTTAATCATGGTAGCAAATGCTTCTGAAAAGCTTTTGTATTCTGCCATAAAGAGTTTCACTCTTCCTTCATCCTCCTCATCTTCAAGTTCATCACGGGCTAAAGCTTTTAGCAAGTGTTTGAAGTCTGACATTAGTTTGTGATGTGTAGTCAGACAGTTCTTCACCATCTCAATCTGTTTTGATAAAGCCTCCTGAAAACAACAAACACAATGTTTTCAGAAAGCTATTGGGCTGCCTTTTGACTGCTGCAAACTAATGATTCTTGCCTTATTGCATCAATATACAGCAACAGTTTACTTATAATGTGAAAGTCTTTGCTTGCTTAAAGATACAGTAGAGATAAATATTTTCCAAACTCAGGCTTTCAATCACACTAAGAGACTAAGTTATTTAAATAAACACAGTTGCTGTATAGCGTACTACAGTGTTACGCCACGATACCATGTGATACTATTCCGTTATTATCGGAGACACAGAATGCGTTCAACCGACGCCATTTTCTCTATACACAAACCATTGATCCCAATCAGGGGCGGATCAAGAGATGTCCAAAAGGTGGACCAAAAGGGAGGGGGTGTGGGGCAAAAGTTGGTCCGATCGAGACAACACTTTCCTGGGGGAATCCGGAGGAATTCCCCTATGAAATTTTTTAGTTCTAGATGCCTGAAAATAACATATGAGGCGTTCTATTCTATAATTTTTTTCTTTTTCTTTCTTTCTTTTTTTCTTTGTAAATGTTAATTGATGATTAAATGTGTGTCCGATAACTAATATAATGCAAGCTTTTTCTGTTTGTAGTATATTTTGATGGTAAATTATTAGGTTTTAGAAAGGCTATTCTAAACCATTAAGATTATGAAGTCATTCAGGCATAATGAACGGTAACTAAAGTCCAGAGGGCATCACCTGGTGTTGTAACAACACCACTGTGGTACTCCACAGTGACGACTGTAGTTAATATATGCTTAACAGTTTCTTATGAAAATCGCAACCTCAAACATGTCAAGCGTTATTTAAATAAAGATGCCACCACAAAAGTGATCCCTGCACTTGTTACATCAAAACTGGCCTACTGTAATGGAGTTCTTTATCGACAA